AATAATAATAATAATGATAAAAGAATATACAAAATAAGTGAAGCACAATGCAAATTGCTCACACCTGCAGACCAATGCCCAGCCAGTTCCCGAGTAGCAGTCATTGCCCCCTGGCCAACTCCCCTCAGTTTGTGTACTGAGCATGACGTCATATGGTATGGAATATCCCTGTGGCCAGTTTGGGTCAGCTGTCCTGGCTGTGCCCCCTCCCAGCTTCTCGCTGGCGGGGCATGAGAAGCTGAAAAGTCCTTGACTAGTGTGAGCACTACTTAGCAACAGCTAAAACATCAGTGTGTTATCAACATTATTCTCATCCTAAATCCAAACCACAGCACTGTACCAGCTACTAGGAGGAAAATTATCCCAGCTGAAACCAGGACAGAAGTTTATCTTAAGCTTTAGGTTTCTAGTCATCGTGAGTATAAACAAAAGCTTCCAAATGAGGGTCCATTTCAAAGTGTGCAGCACCACTAACCCCTTCTGTCCCAGTAGCTTATGGAGGAGCAAGCTTCCTCCATCACCTAAAACAAGTACTGACTCTGAACTGACTTAGATTGGCAAGGTTATCTATTTCATTGTTGACAGTTTAATGTTTGTTTATCTTTCCTACTAGATGAAATGTTGGGTTGTGTAAGGAATGACTACTGCTCAGGTTGCGTTCAAGTCAAATCCAGTCCTTCCTTTGAAAATGCTTAGCTGTTTTACATACTCCCAGGCCAGAAAACAAACAACCCCACCACCCAAACTGTCCTTCTGTCAAACAGCCACAACCTCAGGTTCTCTGTAACAACCATGATCTGCAACATTCAACTCCAGCACACGTCAGATCTTGAGCAGCACAACTCCCCTAAAAATCATGGAATAATTTAGGATGAAAGCGACCTCCATACAGCTAGCTCCATTTAACTCCTATGATCAGTTGAACACCAAATTAGCATTTAAAGCTTCCAGTGCTCTCCCTTCCCTAATAACAGTGTAAGCTTTGGATTTTTCTGGCTGTGTGCTGAGTATGGAGGGTTGAAAGGAAGACGTCAGGACTGCAATCAGAAATTCATGTCTAATGTTCTTGGCTCTGACATGATTTGTTAAGCACTTTTGAACAAAATACTGAATTTTTCTGTATGTGTGCTTATACAAAATAGAAATCCATATAACAAACATCTTACTCCTAGAGATGATGTGACAGCTATCAGTTTGCATAGCATTTTATTGCTATAAACAGTAAAACAAATTAGATTTGATTTCTAGAGGGCAGAATAAATAGTCTTTTCTTTGTTTTTAAAACAGTAGAAGTTTTAGGATAGACACTTAATAAGGTCATATTGGTAGGCCAATATCAAAACTTGCAAGTCTTTTGGGTCCAGCATCCTATCTGCTGGCATTTTCTGTAAATTATATTGACTTCTTCTGTAGGGCAGGGTTTTTTTATTTCGTTGTTGGTTTTGCTTCGGGGGTTTTGTTGGGTTTTTTAAGGTTTGTTAACTGTGTTTTTCTATAAAGCACTATTTGGCAATGCATATATTGCCGTATATAATAGACCTCACCAGCCAGTCATGCAATTCCATTTCAAATTGGAAAGCAACATGAGTAATACTTTGAAATAACTGGGATAGGAGTGTTTTTTAATCATCTAAGTCATGCCTTTGTTGGACAACTTCTGAAAAGGCACAGGGGGAACAAAAGATGGAGTTTCATCAGTTTATAAAAGGAATTATATGAAGTAATTTCCCCTAAACAAGCCTGGACATAATGACAAAAAGTCCCACCAGCCTTATGGGTTTCATAAATGCAAAGTAACATTAGGTGGAGAAATCCCACTAATCATTCAAAAAAATCTCTTGTTGTTTTAGCCTTAATTCAAGTCAACCTGACCCAAAGAATTATATTGACATCTATTAAGAATTGCTATTTTAGATCTACCTGAACCAAACTCTGAAACTGATTTTATTTATTGTTTTATTTTTTGTTTTCATTTCTTAGTAGGTCATGATGGTTCTAACTAGCCTTAGCTGCCTGATTTGTAGTGTCTAAATTTCTGTTCTTCTGTTCTCTTCAGATAAATACAGGGCACCGATCGCAGTTGACTGTATCAAGTGCAGAGGTGGGAAATGAAAGGAGTCAAAATTTGGAAAGCAGCCCTTTCATGTCAGATCTTCTGAGTGACGTACCCTTTGCCCTAGCACCACATGTGTTAGCAGTACAGGGCACCCATAATGACGTTCCTGACCGATTGCTCACCTACGACATCAATGATAATTTATCAAGATTTTGGTATGACTTTACACTTGAAAATTCAGTGCTTTGTGATTTGTAATGTTTTCTTTGTTTTTTCTCTCTGTGTCAAGGAACAAGTCTTAAGGTGAAGATAAAGACTTATTTTAATCAGCTTAATATTTTGGGGGCCTGCCACTGGTATATCAGATGCATTGGATCAAAAGGATCCAACTCACAACTGTGTTATATTTCTTAGCTTTAAGTGAACTGTAACTTACTATGTTAAATATTCTGTTTATCTCCAAAGAAATCAAGCAAAATTATTTCAGCCTGAGTAGGAGACTGACTGTTGGTATCTACTTCCAGTAGGCAGGCTGCAGACACAAACATTTCATAACTTTAAGATGAAGTCTACGCACGTCTGCACTGTTTTGTTACTTCACTCAGATACTAAATACATAGATCCCGTTACACGTGCTTCTTTAAGATCACCTCTGATCTTCTGCAATAGAAGGCAGTATTAGCGCTAAAGCAACGCTGCTTTGCACTACTGGGCAGACAGCTTTCCAGTTAAACCAAGTTTTAAAACTCAGAGTTAATTATGAGTACTTAAATAATTATGAAGACTTAATAGAATTGGTTAAACTTACCAATTTCAAAGTGAATCGGTTGCTCTGCTCCCTTTCCAGTAGATGGTATTTTTGTCCATCTCATTTTGTGCCTGGAGAAGTCCTCCCTGCCTGCCTGTTGGCTGCTGTTTGTTCTCATTACCACATGTGTTCCTGATTTATACATAGATCAGCTTTTCCATTTTAACCTCTTTGCCCCCTGAAGAAGGAAATCTCAGGACACGTACTTTTAATGGTCACACCCTTCTTTTTTTAATTTGTGTGCCAGAGATACAGATGGCAATGTTTAACAACAGGAAAACATTACATTGTTTCTTATGCAGCTAAATTAAATGGCTAAGTACCTAAACATGCATTCTCACAGACCACTGTGTCCCCTGCTCACAAGCTTTGAGCGTGTTTTTCCCGACTAAAACCAGAGCTGCTGTTGCATGAGCAACAGCTCTCTGAGGTAACATCATGATTTGTGATGAATAATGATCTGTGTCACACAAAAGACTACACTTGTTTTCTCTCTCGGGGTAGAATATTTATATTGTGCCAAATGTTAGTGGGTATTTTCATGTATTTTCTATGTTCTGTGATAGCTTAAAATACATATATTTTCAGACTTGCGTCCTCTTACAGTATTTGAGATAAATACTGTAAATGATGGAGAAATTACATTGTGAATACATCTTAGGTTGTTAAATATTCATGTTTTGTATTTTTTAAATGTATGTATTTAATATTTTTGACAGCTATGTTCATAAATGTTTTGCAGTTATTGTTTCAGGGAAAGTATCTGTGCTGCACTCCAATTAAAAAAATGCTAAATAATAGTGAGTTATTTTTTGTGTGAAAGTAATCGCTCGGCTTCACCTCTATTGTTTACTATAGCTGTGACCATTCAGACTTCATGGGAGCTTGAACGTGGAAATTCAGTTTGGAAATCTTTTCAGTATCATTTAAAAATCAGGGTCCTTCTAATCAAATATATCACACTTTCATCTGCTGTATTCTGCATACTGTGTTGGTGACTTGCAGTGGTTTAGGTGGCATCCATGACACTGCTCTGAGGATAGTACGGCTGTGAGCTGGGAAGTACTCGGACCTCTTAGAAGGAAGAATTAATTTTACCAAGTTGTTTAGAACTGTTTTGTGTGTTGAGTTTTCTAGTTAACGCATACCTGAAGCACTAAATTTAATTTTCGTGATTGTTTTATATTTAATCATTAAAAAAGTAACCATCCTGCAAATAGCATGTTTCCATTCAAATTGTCCATTTCGAATCTGAAATGTTTCTGCAGCTCAGCTGGTCTAGAAGCAGAACTGCAAAACGCTGTTGAAGAGCCAACAAACTCACTATACTTGTTCTTTCCTTGCTAGCTGACTTAGCATATAATTTTTGGCATTCATTTTTTGTTTAAAGATAGATTATTTATCTGAAATAATCACATCTTGTCAGAATCACACTCTGTTACACTCACAAGCCAATGCGCTGTCCTTTCAAAAGAAAAGAAGAGGCAAAGCAGGGTGGGGAGGAGGTTGTATTCACCTATAATGAGAAACACGGTTGGTAGGTTAAACATTTGACTGCATCCTTAACCATATTCCGTAAAGGGTAAAATTTACACCTAGCAAGAGTACCAGTAATGAGCACTGGGAATGTGTCTCCTGACTGCCCTCTCTTTAGCAAGGGCTGGGGCTCAAAGCTCTCCCTTGCTTGACATCATCCATAAAAAGTGGATTGAAGCCTAATGGTATCCAGACAGCAAAAGTGAATTTATTCCCACTGGGATAAGAAAAAAAATACACTTAAACTGTTATAAAGCAGTAAGATTTATGGATATTACTATTTGCCCACTAATAACATGAAGATGGCACAAAATCTCCAGAAAATTAAAGATTTCAAAGAGTCTTAGCTCGTATAAAAATGTGAATTGCTAGTGTAATTGCTAGCGTATGTTTACATCATATGCTAAGTGATTATTGCATAGAATATATGTGAATATATTGTCAACAAATACTGGATGGTTCTATATATTGTCATTCAAACATTTGACCACCGATGAAGGAATATAGTTAATTTAAAAAAAATTATAAACTATTAAAATATAATCAGTATTTATATCAAAATAGTAAACGGCCCTGGCTGTCCTTTCTTTCTATTCTGTATCTAAAAATGAGAACATGAGTAGAACTGCTTGCTTTGTGTTATGCATATGGATGTAAATTGTTTAGACAGAACTGAAAGGTATTTCATAGCTGATGTCATTAACAGCAGAATTAAGACAGGTTGTCAACTCCAGAACTAATAATGAAAGGCTGAGCTGTGATCCTGGGCCAGTGAAGTGCTGTAAATGGGAGCTTTGTCACTGCCATTAGTGGACATATTAGTAGGCCTGCACTCCTTTATTTAATAGTCTATTTAGAGTTACTTTGTTTCGTGGGAGATTCTGAGTTTTGTTTGCAGTTCTCTACGTTTTCCTTGCAAGAGAGGTACTCTGCGTTGTGTGATAGCTTCCTTATGGAACTTTCTAATAAATCAAACATAACAAGACACTTCTTATTTCCTCTGGAAAAGTTGTAAATACAGGCTCTGGAAAAGTCTAATTTGAAATGTAGAAAAAGGGGAGTGAAGCCCACATGCTCAAAGGTAAATCAAAGAATAATTGCATCCAGAGCAGCCCGACAGAAGGCTGATTGGGAGCTGGTCCCTACAGACAACTCCCTGGTGACAAACTCAGAAGTGGAACCAGACAATGCCGTGTCCGGCAGGTCAGTCAAGGAGGTGGTTACAGATCCAGTTTCTGATGTTTTCTGTAAAGTATGATCCAAACCCTGATACTACAGTACTGCAGCTGGCAAATGCATACTTGTGTGGTCACAGATGAGAGGTTTTGACCCTCGAGCAAATAAAGGAAAAAGGCAAAGAGCTTATTCAGTGCAGTAATTACAGTATCTCAAAATAACACAGAGTTTATTGCATTTTTAGCTGGAAAACCTGTTATGTTCACAAAAGCACTAAAGCAGCCTCCTGGGCAAGATGAGTGGGTTGTTCTGAACAATAGCATAAAACTTGCGCTTAAGAAACCATTCTCCTCTCCTCCCCATCACCACCCTCTTGTTATGACACAATAATTCATCTTGCTTTGGGTTTTCTCTGCTCAGCCCTAGTGAGTATGGAGAGGAACCAGAAGTGCAACTCCTAGGGGTAAGTCCTTCCCTTCTTGGGTAACTGCAACTCTTCTACTGATGACAGGGCAATTCCAGATTAACCAGATTTCCTTTCGAAGCCAGAGTGTGTCTGTTACAGCAACAAAGAGGCAGAAAATCCTCCTTAAAATCCAAAGGTAGGCTCCTGTTTAGTGCCGTAGGAAGAAGGTGGTTTAATAAGCCAAGCTGGGTACGTTCAGCCCACCTGCTGTGCTGCATCTCTTCATCAGCGTTAAGCTTCACATTCTGTAACGAGCTTGCAAAGTCAGAAGTAGGTACATTAGGCCTGATTTCTTCCCATCAATATGTCAAATTCCTTAAACTAAGGAAAATTATTGATCTCCCTGTGCCCTCCATTGAGACCATGTTATTTCTTTACCAGTTAGATACTTACGTCCTTTGATTCTCCTAGAGAACTACCTCTTTCTTTTCAACATCTTCCACAGAGATGAGACTGTTTTCTGAAAAGAGACCTGGGCTTCTTTCTGCAAAAGGGATCTGTTTCCATAGACACTTTCTTAGCCTTCCTTCTGTCTGAATCACAGCCATCCACAAGAAGAGATGTAAGTATTCATGCTTACTGGAAGGGGAGAAAAGTCGCTACCTTGTTCCCGTTGTGTTGACAGTCAGTTAACTGGGAAGCGTTACTGCCCATAGAACGAAACTGAGATTTTTGTCCATTCAGAATTTCATCATTTTCAGGTGCCAGGAGTTAAAGAAGGAAAGTTGATCTTCTAGGCATGGCATCTTACTGCCTGTTTAGTTCTGGAGCACAAATTTTAGGTTCTGTGTACAGGTATGTGAAGTTTTTCTTTGCACTATATGATGCTAATGAGTAAGACTGTTCTAATTCTCCTGCATATACTGATGTCCAATCTAAAAAGCAGTAAGATCCAAAGCACTACTTTGACTTCTGTGGGTGCAGTCCCTAGTAAGACAACTCTGTGCGCAGAATTTTTTTTTCCTCCATGTATGAATGGTTTTAAGCATTCAGTAGAACTCCCCAAAAATAATTTAAACTTTATTTTCTGAAACATACTAATGGAAAGCTTTTCCACCTTCATGGTGAGTGCTACAGATCTGGCTATTCTACACGCAATTACTTTGAGGCCATTAAAAATTACTAGTTTTTTACAGATATCTACCTAGTATGAAATGGCAAGAGTTCTCATATGTTCATTATTTCCTTTAGTTGTATAGAAGGATAAATACGTAGTAAAATTACATCAAACTAAGGGGGGGGGAGGACATTTAAAGCAGTTTTCATTGAACATTATTTCTGTAGTAGCTAACTTTGGCTGTAATGAAAATACAGAAACTAAATGAAGTGCAGGTGGTAAGAATATGATGACACTATCATACTGGTGATCCGAATCAGAAGTAAATCGGTACAGTGCCCCATAGTTTCTTTTTTTGTGTACGTGTAGTAGATAGCACAACGGTCCCTAATGCTAATGCCTCTGTATGTTAACATAAATAATGGGAGAGTAATGATGGATCACATACTCCTTTCAACATCTCAGAGCAGGTATTTGTTTTTAGTCTGCAGCCTTCCATGCTGTAGTCTTTCTAGACTGTTTTACCAGAAAAAGACAGTGAATAGTCTATTAAAGTTTACTTTCTGATGAGGTATCAGGGTCGCTCGAAGAGCTTTGCTGTATCACAGCTCAGTGGTTTGTCAAATACATCCCTTCTACAGAAGCAAAACAGTCTGAGCATGCTGCGTGGTTCATATAATAAACCAGGAGTTGTAAAGCTTTCAGCGTTGTACTGCAGGTTATGATGAGATGTTGGAGAAGGCTTTTTTTAATTCTGTGGCAAAAGAGAGTATCTAGCGGTGGAAGTGGAAGTTATGATGACCCCAGAAGGATGCAGCAGCTGTAGAACAGGGAAAAGAGAGGGCTTAGTTCTGCCAGCCAGTTCAATTCACTTTTCCTTGCTGCAAAGATAAAATAAACTCTTGAGATCAAAGATCTCATTTACAAGGCTGTCCTCTTAAGCCGGTCGACACATGCACTTCAATAACAGAACATAAAAGAAACTGCTCACAAGCAAACAAAAAAAAAGATGAGCCTCAATTATAAACATCCCCCATCCAACTGTTTGTGGATATCAGCATTATGGTTAGAGTAGCCACTCATGTCCAAATGTTCATATAACTGTTCCCAGAGGTCAGCTTTGGGCATCCATCTAAATCTCACTGGAAAAGAAGTCTGAAGCAGATGGGCTCAGAAAACAAAGACTCAGGTGAAATGGACCATCACGGTGAGAAGGGAATTACTTATTTAAAGCAATGGATACTTGTAAGAACTGAAAAAGACTTTGGGACTTCAGTCTGACCACTGTGTCACCCTTTTCATGAAGAGATCTGCTACTTGTCCGTTTTCCTTAAGAAAACTAAGCAATGTGTGATGTTTTGGAAACTGTACAGTAATTTCCTTTTTCAGCTGTTTTTAGAAACTACTGGTGCATCTGCTTAGCTTATTCTGCTCTTAAAGACATTTTTAGATTCCTGTAACCCTGATTTTGTCTGTTATATGTTTAGATGGGGCTTTTTTCAAAGACTTAGTATTTATCTTACCAATTGACTCAAAGAATCTTTTTGTTGTTATTTGACTT